AGCTCTCGCAAGTTAATACATAGTCTAGTCTGATGTTTTGAAAAGTTCACTATCGCTTTTAAGGGAAAAGAGCCAGTTCATGGCCGCCATAAAAATGAACTATGCAACCAATCTAAGGAAGATTTTTAGCACGAAGGGCAGCTGGCGTCTGAACTTCTTCCAAGTTTTTTCATCTTCTAGCTTTTAGCTGCTATGGTCAACACCACGCCAGGATGGGTGCCGTTGCACACGTCACCCCACCAACGCATGCCCGCGGTCGGTCGTAGAGCTTACTGCCAGCAGTGGGAGGACTCCTGCTTCGGCGCTGACGAAGGTTTAGACTTGTGGAATTGATGTCGGGCCACATCTCGCTCATATCTTTTTCGAACACATACACACCGGCCCACAGCAGCAGCGGCTGGACACCTACACTCGCATCGATAGCCCAACACGATGTAGTGCAGCATGATGCGCAACAAATCCTTGGGCATCTTGCTGCCTTGTGCGTCGTTGGCTCTGGCTTGAAGATTGGCGGGATGCGTTGCGAGAGAGCGACGAGCATTGGGCGTCCTGCGCGTGCGTTTGTTGCTGCGTGCGCACACACCCTGTCTGGGTGCGTGCATATTTGCATTCCAGCTCAAAACGTCGCGTCCTCTCTCACAAGACGCTCACAACGCTCCACTCAGACCCATCTCGGTTGGTGGCAAGGCACCTCGGAGCTGTGGAGCACACAGCATCGAAGGTTTCACCCGAATGCAAACATCTGTTTGGGAGATATGGTGACTTGGTCGCGGGCCGTGCTGATCAGATTCCCTCATGGTGACATCGTGACATCACATCGTTAAAAGTACAACCTTCGGAAAAAACGGGACTTATCCCAGGGACGGTGCTGTTAAAAGTGAAGGTGAAATTTTGCCAAGAATACTTCCGAAACCGTCTAATGTTGGTTATTTGACAACATTGACGGCCGTCGTTCTATACGAGAGGGGGCGGGAGGAGGAGCCAGCACAAGTCTAGACTGGATGGGCAACAACAGCTCGTCTAGGGTTTGTGCGAGTCAAGTTCGAGACTTCTACGTCGAAGAGGGGAAGGAAGGGCGTACAACAAGATCAGGTGCGGTGAAGCACTCGATGTGTGGGAAGTTGGAATAATACCGCATTACATCAATTGCATGCCGCACGAAACACATCAACCAGCTCATGACGTATCTTTATGCCCACCCGCGGTTTAGCCAAGACATGCTCATGTACGGGGGGACCCTTCACTTGTCTAGTCGACAGAGTCCGAGATGCTCACATATATATGTAGCTTAATTCTGCTGGGATGCAGTCCCTTCTCAGAAATCGTACCCGTATGCGAGACTCCTGCAGTATATTGAGTCAGAGGGCTGAAGAAAGAATGGCTGTGGGTTTCCGACCAATGACCGATTCAACCGTAGAGGACAGAGCACGGACATGAAGGTCTAAGGTATAGCAGGGTCGTTGATGAAGACCTCTCTTGATCGCGGCACCATCGCTGTCGTCCGTGATAGTTTTAGTAATCAGCTAGAAAAGCACGCTCGCTCAATCTACGGTTGAGTCCCCCCTCCCCTTCCCTGTAACCAGTTTCGACATGCGCCGGCGATCTATGGGGCGACGAAAGGAAACAACAACGTTGAGAGCGGTCGTGAGGCCCAGGATCTCCAAAAGGAATTATTGTGGCAAGGAGCTTGAAGTATAAGACAGGGCACTCCAACAAAAGTGCTCTTGGTATGTTTCGCCAAAGCGTCAGAGGAACGCCTTGACTAGTGACGAGGATGCCGGCCAGCTCGCGGAGTTCTATTCGGTACTTGCCATGAATTTGAGGGTGTTTCGTGGCGTAGACACTGCTTGTTGGCAACCTGGGCGAGTCTCCTCGGCGCTAGCTATTGTTGCGGTTTGGCAATGGACCGTATCTGGCGCGATAACCCGCTTCGTAGCTTGGGACTCGTGCGAGAGAGCAAGGATGTCTGAGAAAGATGCGGGAATGCGATCGAATGGAAAAGTTATTGAAAAGGACAGACTTCTGGTGCGGAGAAGTCGCTACAGGAGTAAAACTGGGTCTTTAGGTGTCATACTTTTGTGAGGCAGGTTCGTCCAATACCATTTCGTCCAAATAAGCTCAACTCTGACAGATTGGCAGTATATGGTGTCGAAAGCGGAATATTCATTCTGGAGGCAATACCAATCGCACACAGCAGAACAGAATAACAGGTCAATGAAGGACACCAAGTTGGAGGTAGAATGTTTTAGGAGGGCGGCCATGATTGTTGAGAAACAATCAAGTCAAAGGACCCGCGGGTTATTGTCCGAACCCGAAACCGAGAATTACGAGCCTCGAGTTCCATTCGTCAGAGAGAACGACGCGCTGTGGGTGGCATGAGCGCCTGGTCCTTGCTGGTGGAGTAAAAGCAAGAACAAAGGAATCTTTGCGTAGGCTCACAGGGAGCGATGGCCAAGTCTCGCATTGAAAAAATCGAGGTGAGCTTTGGTACGCGCCTTGCAGCCAACACCTCTGGCGCTCTCGCCAACGAGCCGCATCCACACGCACAACGTTGTTCGGTGCTGTTGTTAGTGTGAGAATCGTTCGTGATGTCGCCGTATTTTGCCAGATCAGAGTTATTCCCCAGAACCGTATTCATATGATATGCACAAGCTAATGGAACCAACAAGAACCGATTTCAACGATAACGTTACCCACAATTTTCCGCATGGCCTCACCTATATACATGCGCAGTGGTAATCGCAACCCGAAAACACACGCCCGAACAAACAAACCCCAACACAATACTGTACCTCCAAGAAACTGCACAGTTTTCCGCTGATTCTCTCGGTTGAACTGAACAAGCGAGACCTGTAGCTCATCACACCCCCACAACCATACTGCATCAATGCGGCGGTGAAAACGGTCTCGTTTGTTGCTGTTGTAGCCCCAAACAACCGGAAGAAAACAAAACGCCTCCAGAATACCAACACATATTGGCGAATCCGTCTCACACACGCAAACATTTTGAACAAACCCAGTCTTCCGTAAACCAACCAATCCGCCCCATCAAAATCCATGATCGCTTGTATTGCCAGAAACCAAAAACGATCCATTGAATACATCTCGCAGGTTGCGTCCAGACTTTGCAACGTTGTGAACGATCCGCAATAATTTCGTCGTGTTTTTTTTAGTAGTAGTGAGTGAACTGCGATGATATACAGCGCTGGCGGGGGAAGGTAGTTGATTTGATTCGAAGGATGCAATAACCTAAAGCTGACTTGCCCCGAACAGAAACGCCAGACCTCTCGTCTCAGTCACTGCACCTTTCCTTATTTTTACATCATCGTCGTATCCCGTCGCTCGCCCTGTCGACGTGAACGAAGTTGTGGGTACACACTCACACCAGGCTGAGTTGGCCACAAGTCAACATTAATACAACCTGATCTCGTCTCTTATGCATCTCATCAAGAACGTGGCGATTCAAAAGCCCAACGTTATAAGATTCCCGAAACTGCACATGTGCATCACTTTAAAGTGACATAGTGAGATTGACCTCTTCTGGCTCTTGGAAGGAGCAGTAGTCCATCTCAAAATCTCAACGCCACGCCTTCCAACATATACATGTACCCCCATGACAGTTTATTTGGCCTCCTCCTCTGGCCAATGCTCAACACGAAATGGCCTAAAAAACGAAATTATCGTTGCCAGCTATCCTCAATCTTAACGCACTGCATGCGGCATCACGAAATATGACTGGCCTCCTGGCTCTTCCTTTCGTAGAGCTGTCTAGAAGAAGATATCATGACGCCAAGAATCCATGTCTAGTGAGCAGCCCGTCTCCGATATTCGTGTTTTATCTGAAAAATTGATTGGAATTTCAATGCTGATCTTGCCCCCGACGACCATGACACACTCAAGGCTGCAATGGTCTTCAACACTTCCGGGTCGAGATATCAGATGTCATCATGCTCCCGGAAACATCGGCACTCGACAAGCAACGGCCGTTTTCTACCCGTCGCGTAACATCACCATACATGTGGGGTCGGAGCGCGGAGAACGTTCTAGGAGCTTCCGGAATTCTCCGAATTACAAGTGAAACAGAGTTAAAAAACGGATAAAAACAGAAGAAGCCAGCGAGTGAACACACCGCTGTCGCAGCCAGCACCACAACTAGTTCTTCAGCCAACCACAATCAACCAGCGGCAAGCTTCGCCTTGCGCGGAGCACGAAAGAGAGGAAAATAAAAATACTGTGTACATCCACCGCAACTGATATGAGATGCGGTTGATAAGTCACTTTGTAGCTTCTGTGGCTGATGGAAAACAAGGAACACCGTACGCATCGGGAGCGGAAAGGTCCAAGACGACAGAAATATCGCAATTGGTGCAAATACAAATAGATAGACCCTTTTTGCCAAGCCAAAAGAAAGAATACGAAGAATGGTACCGAGGGTCCCTGGCCCCCTTCCTTCCACGTGTTACTATAGGCGAAAGCCAGCATGAGTCATACACGGCATCAACGCTCAGAAACCCACCGGTGGTGTGTTTTTACAAGTGATCCGTCTTGAACCAGGACAAACTCACGAGCCCCAACGTTGTGTGATATCCGAGAGGTTTGTCAGAGGGATGAGGAATGATGGTACTGTGCGCTCGGCTCGACACACCTCCGGGATTCACGCCAACTGCCGAGTTGTTGATGCTGTTGCCACCACTAACCAAGGCTGACATCGCGGCGGACCGGGGGTCCTACAGATCGAATTCCGAGGGCCTACATAAAGGCAAAGTCATGGCATACAGCGCAGGCGGTAGGGGCGGGAAAAATGAGTATTTTTTTCGCGGTAGAGTATCACCATGGACCCTAGCGTCCTTGCAAAAGAGTGAATTACGTCTCGTTCGGGGGGAAATAGCGGGCGGGGGGGGAAATCGTCGAGACAGAGGGCACACACGGAAGTTACACCCAGAGGCCTCGTGTAGGAGAAAATTTGACGTTTGAGCGCTAACGACAACAATGACTGCGCGTCATCCGACCTCCACAGACCACGAGCAACATCGAGAAACATTGAAACATGAAAGCGGATGCATCGCGCACGCGAACGTGATAACATGAAACAATTGCATGAATTCTACCGTCAGCACGCCGCATCCCCATCTTTTTCCGTACCAGTTGTCCAGAGGAGAGCCGCTGCTCCCGTCATAGGGCATCGAGAGCGATCCGCAACAGCTGGCCCCGCTGGCATCTCCGATGCCGCTCCATAGCGGTGGCAGCGGTGGCGGAGCCGATGATCCCTCTCCACTACCGCCGCTGGGCAAGAACATGCCTCTGTCCAAGTCGTGACCGAGCGCAGCCGCCCCTGCCGCCGTTTCCGCCGATGCTGCCGCCACGTGCGGGTCCAGAGAAGAGTCTTGCCAGCCCTGTTCGGGGGTAAATCCTGGAAAGAGCCCGCACGGGGAACACAACGACGGTGGCAGAGCGGGGATGCCGCCGGCCTGGGGGAAACCGCCACAGTCGTCGTAGCTATTGATCAGCGAGACCACGGACGGCACCTTTACCACCGCCATCAGTCCACTGGACGGGGGCGAGTGGCAACGAGCATCGTCGGGAGTTGCCATGATTTGCGGTGGTGGTGCTTCCCCTGCAGCGGTAGAACGGTCGTCCTCTTGGTCTTCCTTTCGTTTTTCTTCTTCGTTCTGTTCGTGTCCCTCGCCATCGTCAAGACGATTATCGGTGTACGGCTTCGTGGCGATTCGCGGCGGTGAGGAAGAGGAAGAGAAAGAATGTTTCTCACCATGATGGAAGGCACTACCATGGAAGGCAGTAGAGAAGCATACCACATGAACCCTCGCGTTCCCGCAGAGCAAAAAGAGCTTGGGGTTCCGCCAAAACGACGAGGAGTGCCCAAGAAATATTCCCCCAAGAAGTGTGCCGTGACACTACAAACCAAAACTAACGGGTGGTGCGTCCAATAGGTGACTTTGTCAATGGAAAGAGACCGAGTAGATAGCAGATGCTTTCCAGTCGAGAACGCGACCGACCACGGGTCTACACGGTACGGGCCATAGATCAAAACACACCCCGTTACAAAAATAGAGGCTTGAAAACGTGCACAAACCATATGACGCCAGGGAAAAGGATAGTCAACTCAGGGGTGCATCCCACACAAAGCTCTACCAGTAAAATGATACGACAACTTGTGCTCGACAGCGATGTCGAAGAAAGAAATTTGAGCCTAACTTGCGGGCCCGCTCTGTACGCACCTACCGTACGTACCTCGTCGGGGAATGGGCGCCCCTGACCAATTCTCTGAAAGTACTTCTGCGCGTGGGTGCGGACCTGAGCAGGCGACCTCGTCGTAACGACAAACTTAGAAATCCACTTCCAGCTTTCTGTTGTTTTGCCCAACTGTCCCGCCACGGAGAGAAACCGCTCGTGCTCGTCCTTCGTCCAGCGACCTTTGTTGCGGCTGAGTTTGTATGAATGCAGCAAGCGCACATCACGAGTATGTTTCAAAACATTCATACAGGACGTGCCCACATTGTGTACGGTATGTACGGACGAATGGTCGAATCTTACTAGGCACGTGCTCGCATGATCTAGGACACATCGCAGATACAGATCTCCACGCAGGTATTAGACATGATTTCTATTGAAAGCAGGGGACATGGGTGAGGAGTCAGGAATGAATGCATCTGCTTTGTTTGTTTGGCATTGGTGAGCGATATATCATGACTATTGACTACGGATATAGCCAATGTATTACAGTTCAACTCCTGCGTCCCCCCTGTCGGAGGAACCCGTTCACTTTGGTTATCAAGTGTTGGTGTTTTTTATGCTGCTACTAGACTGACGTTTTTTTATTGGTCAGCCGGTTAGCGCGATCGATACTAATTAAGTAAGCTGATTAAAATCATAGTTTGACACGTGCCCCATCTTCTTGTTCAATGTTCCACTTAAGCTACACACACGAGCGCGCGTCATTCGGCGGCTTGTACATGCATGCCATGCGTAACCATTCATGCATCCCGAAATATTGTTGAACCAAGTCGCCAGTAATAGAGTAAAGGTCGATCCGGTGACTTCAGGCAGTGTATTTCTGGAATTGCTGCCGTGTGTTAGGGACATCTTTTCGTCGAAGACTCCTTGCATTATTTTTGTTTATGATTTCTTCCTCGAGGAAGGTCTCCGTTTGACTTGATTGATTCTTCCCTCTGCGGCGGCCGTGGTGGTTGCCTGTCTTCTAGAGTATTCCCGTCGAAGCTTCAATGGACGGTCAACGGGCAGAAGTACTTCCAGGAGGTTGGGAGGAAACTGTGGCGGAACGTTCATCACTTCCGTAGAAGCTTTTCCATCACCTTCATGCAAGATTCCACCACTACTCCCTACAAGACACGTTGAGTTCATGCAATTGCTTGCATGGGAGCCGCGGCGAAAAACCATCGGGTACACCTTTCCATGGAAGCCTCCGTTGAGGCGTCCCATTTGGGTTGTCATGCACGGCACACTTGATGTCACTTTCCGTGGACTCGCGTTATTTTATTGTACCCATTTGCTACCTTAAGTTCTCAGGGTATAGTTTCGGGGATAAGGTCAACGAACCCACAGCAGCAGTGTCGGGTGCGCCTTCAATGATATTGATTTTCGTCGTTGCCGTCGTCGTTGTCGTCGTCGTGGTCGTCGTGGTCGTCGTGGTCGTCGTCGTCTAAGCGTTGAAAACCGTCCGTCCAGTGTCTGCTCAGCGCCTTCTGACATCCGTGTACCCGTCAAACTAACTGACGCTGACAACGCCTTCCACGGTCGGTCACAGGCCAACTACCCGTCCGTGGGAAAACACCCGTCTGTACTCATGCGTGTGTATGATGTAGTATGTGGTATGCACTATGCCGGGAAGTTATACCCTCCGATAATTTCTACTTGTACTTTTTACTGTTAGATGGCACTCTAGCATATTATTAGAAAGTAAACGCAATCCTCCCACAGAAAGACAAATAAACTACAATGTACCCGTTCTGCATTATTATTCGAAAACCTACGGGGTAGACTAATTAGTCTGTTGTTGTTGCTGTTGCTGCCGTGTAAAAATGTAAAGCACCGTTCGTTCCGGTGTCTGTGCTCCGTACCTTCTGACATATTCGCCGGTCCAACTGACGCGGACGCCTTGCAGGGGAAACAGGCGAGCTATCCAAAAAGATAACCATGACATTCAGTGAAATGCATCCATACAGACTGTGCAGTCTCCAAAGCTGGCGGCCGTATGCATACACCACCAACAATTTTCTTGAAAAGAACTGAAAACCGTGATGACTCTCTCTACACGTACTGCTGTGGCGAGTGATCACACCCACCCTTGGACAGATTTTGAAACCTCATCGATTACTCTGCAGCAAACCAGAGGCGGTGCCAAAATGGCAGCAGTGGAACTGCTTTGTCGAGCTTCCGAAGGAAAACAAGAACAAGCAAGTCGTTACACAATTATTCACAAGTAAATTGATTTCCTCCTTCTCTTCGTGGAGGGAGCGCCTTTTTACAATCTATGGATTGTCAGAGAGAAACACAGTCCCCGGATTGTAAATAGGCGCTCCCCCTAGATAGGCGCTCCCGTGTGGTTCTTTCTCATAATCCATGGATTGTAAATAGGTGCCCCCCGTCGTGGAGTAATCGAGCTGTATGTAGAAGTACGCCAGGGGGTGTGGTATCTTACGTCACGTACCGTACGAACGAAATATCGTACGTCAATGAGGTGACCAGAACGAATCTGAGCGAAATGATTGTTCCACCATGAGTTACGACGCCGTCCGCAATATGAGCACACGCATGGTTTGGATGTGTGTCTGTCGTCATGATGTGATGATTCCATCCAATGTGTGTCAGAAGGATGGTGAGAACACAGCTCCATGGATCGCACGCGTGTTCGTAGTTTGTATCTACACATCTGAAGTGGTTGAACTTCATGCCGCATTATTACGGGCCTCCAGCGAATAACGTTCTGTGTGACGCTCGAAAATGCACCGCTGCTTCCCTTTCTCACTCCCTTCTCTGCCAGGGTGCATACCTCTCCCCGACCGTGGACGGATGCACTCCACCGCACTTCACACTTACCGGCGCATTCGAGCAAAGAGATACTCGAGGGAGGGAGATGGTAGATGGCGGATGGAGGATATAGACTATGCCGCCTTTCCGCGTTCACTCCTCGCAGGCCTCCTGGGCAGGTGCGAGTGAGTCTATCCCGCCGATCGATATCCAAGATCGATCACCACCCCTTTTCCCTGTGTCACAGACGAAGGCAAGCGTGTTCGTAAGCGTGACAGTTGCGCGTTCACAGAGACCTCCTCGCTGAGGTCTCGTGTTGATACGCTACTTGTACTGCTGTTGTGTTCAATATCGGCGTGACCAAGTTGGCGTGACGCAAAAACCGGACCATTTCAGCGCAAAAGAAACAAAGGATTCCACAAACATTTTCCGGAACAAAACTGTACATATTTGAGACAGCAAAAAAAAAACACGTGATGACTGCCGACACGTTTCGCCGCATCCCCGCCATGTTCACGATGCCCCATGGAGACTACATAGATAGGGGACTGCTGTAAAGTGCAAGGCTACATCGGGCTGAGCGACCGGAAACCACCTCTGGTTCTACCTGTACCCTCCGAGCTGACTGCCTTCGTTCGACCCACGTTCAGGTGTGTTGGTCATATTTTGTGTTCGTGAGCCCTAGGGCCGCGGACTTGGGGCTGCTGTTTAACTGTGTGTATTAGCTCGCATGAGAGTGGAGAGAGGGAGAAGGAGGGGAGGCCCCAATTCTCGAGAGAACACGGGGACTCCGCACTATCATCCAAAGCCTCTCCGCACATACCCTTCAAGTTTTCCCAGCTGCGTCCTACGTAACGGCTACTTTTCGACTATCTACTTCTACGCACGAACACCCTCCCTGGTTCTTTACGCCAGTGAAGAACCTCTAGTGCGTCGAAAAAACGTCCGAAAAACCGAAACACAATGACAAACCAAAAGAAAAGGGGAAACCCGGCCACCGGATCAAAACCCCTCAGAAATTCAACGCCTCACGCCGATCATATCACGAAAGATTCCAACGGCTCAAACAAAATCCAATAGCCGTCCATATCACCAATGATTCCAACGGCCGTACTGCAAGAAGACAAAGATAAAACCACTCCAGACGCTCGGATTACAAATTCTAGGCAACGCTCTACTACCTCGAGCAACGCCTCTGACAAATCCTTCCGACATGATGGAACGAACTCCTTGCTGTGCAGCACCAACTGACTCTTCAGGTGTCACACACATACAGGCAACGCCCTCCCTGTCTATCTGCATTCCACACGAAAACTGCATCGAACAGGTACGTTCTCCCTGCCTTCGGTTCAACCATCTGCAATCCTACACGAACTCAAAATCATGACCTGTTTCCAACTGAAAAACCAATCAAACTCGATTCTCCAAAGGATGCCCGCTTTTGAGAAATATACAACCTGCCGAATGTAGCCTGCTTCAAACAAGGTCCACCATCTGCAAACTACCAAATCAATCCTCAGTTCTCCTTCAATCAAGGATACATCAACTTGCTACTGAACCTTCAAGCACAACTACGCAAAACACAAACGCCCCCCCACAACTTGGTAACGCTGTACTACGAATCCCAAGCATCTACTACGCTGTCTGCACTATAGACAAGCACACCAGGAACCTAAGCCTAGTGCCCTCCCTTGCGCAACACCGGCGCCCAGAGGAACACGCACATGGCCATCACCTAGATGTCGCTTCCCAAAACAGACACAACCAACATGCTTCCGTACGTGAAAACAAAATCGACTTCCACTAACAACTGCATACCTGCCCGACACACCAACCTGTCAAGTTGCATAATACCAAGACCGGGCGTACTCTTCAAGCGTAACATTCTCAAAAGAAACACGCCCGTTTTCACCCTCCCTTGTTCTGCAACAACTCAGGTAAACAAAACACTTGTTGCGCCTCCTACTTAGGCCGTGGGTCACATATAACCGCGTAGCCCCCACACATGAGTGATGGTGGCAAATTCTACCAACGTGAACGTCTCTACCCCCCGACACTTTGCCATCATCACCAGCAACACAACGTCACCGGCGAAGGATGCACTAATGGCATAACGACGAACACAAACATTCAGAACAACCACGATTTGGGTGCAAGACAACGCGCAAATGACGGCGGAAAGAAACACGCAACAGTGAACAGAATTTCCTCGAATACAAGTTGCTTGATTTCATCACGACCTCAAACTGGTACCTCCACACAAAACAAGACAACAAAATCCAAGCTTATTCCAACTACTCCACCAACACATCTTGATGGCGAAGCATGCCTTTAATTCACGTCCATCCTGACGCATTCTTGTCTCCACCGCTCGTTCCCGGCTTATGAGTTGCGCGCGGCACCTCCCCACGCGACTTTGATGACACCCACTTAGCTGTGCCCCGTTCCACCACCCACCTCCGGCTGATGGTTGCGCGCCACCTCCGCGCGACTTAATATGCTACTCCCCCCGCTCCTATGACGAGGCAGAACAGCCACGGCCCCTCCGTCCGTGCTGGGTTTGCGCGCCACCTCCGCGCGCCTTATAATGCTGCCCCCCCCGTTCCGACGACGAGGCAAAGCAGCCACGGCCCCTCCGTCCGTGCTGTGGTCAAAAAACGCCGCCCGCTCCCGCGTGATCGGCGCCCACCCCCCGACGCGCCGTCGCGCGTGTCAACCGTGGTAGGGCGTACCCGGCCTCTACTGCCGGCCTTGGATCGACTTAACAAAACACCGCCAGCATCAAGCATGTACGGCGCCCCCCCCCCCCCGCGCCGTCGCGCGGTCGATCCATGGTTGAGTGTCTCCGGCAATCCTGCCCAACGGTCTCTCTACCGTCCTGGTGCTCCACCGCCTTACCGCAGATGGAATGCGCGCCAAAACTGCGCGACTTCACGGCCCCTCCGTCCGTTGTGTTGCGCCGATTACTCTAACGCCTTTCATGTTGATCCACCGCCTTACCGCAGATGGAGTGCGCGCCAAAACTGCGCGACTTCACGGCCCCTCCGTCCGTTCTGTTGCACCATCAATTCCGGCGACTCCTGTGCGCCCCGCCCGCTACTACAGCAAGGCAGAACAGTGGACACAACCCTTCCGCCGTGCCGCATTCTCCACCCGACCTCCCCTGAATGGATTGATCGGTTGCTGTGACACTCTCACCAGTGTCTCCAGCGGCAGCAGACTGCTGTACGCAAGCACTGCCGAACGTACTACGAAGAGAGTTGGTGTCTTGGAATGCACCAAACCCACCTGCAGCAGGGACCTCCACATCCCGCACCAGGGCGCCTTCCACGCCCGGCCTACTGCTGCTCTCTCCTCCAGCAGTGTCGCCCTCCCTGACGACCACCGCAGGACACAGCTCTCGGTGGCTGCTCGGCGGAACCCCCAATTCCGCCGCACCCGCGGCGCCCTCTTGCAGCGCCGCCGACCCCTCCTGGCCTTGCCCTTCCGACTCGGCCTGCAGTAGCGATGGCAGCATGCCCATCATCTCCTGCACCTCTGTCATCTCTACTCGTTCAGTTACTGCTCCGTTCCAGTCAGAAAGCGTCCAGTTCAGAGTTGCGTACCCTGGCTGCTGGAACCCCGCTGCCTCTCGCTTGGCATAGCCCGCACCGTCTTGCGGATCCTCCCGGGAGGACGAACGCTAGCGTGTTCGTGAGCCCTAGCCCTGTTAAGGGCCGGCGGACTTGGGGCTGCTGTTTAACTGTGTGTATTAGCTCGCATGAGAGAGGAGAGAGGGAGAAGGAGGAGAGGCCCCAATTCTCGAGAGAACACGGGGACTCCGCACTATCATCCAAAGCCTCTCAGGACATACCCTTCAAGTTGTCTCAGCTGCGTCCTACGTAACGGCTACTTTTCGACTATCTACTTCTACGCACGAACAGGCGGTAGCGGTGGAGAGAGCGAAAGCAGTGCGCTACATGCGCGAGCCTTCAACACCGCAACCAAGGCCAAAAGGGTCCCCGTATCTGCATCGATGGTACCCATCAACATACGAAATTCCCAACACGTATCCCCCAGGATCCTCACGTCTAGTGACTGCTGCGAGTATATCTAACACACCAATTTACCTTGCTCGCGGAGAGGTAGAAGAGCCAGCATGATCTCGACAACGAAAAATCATTTGAAGAAAAAACACAACAGCGTTAGTCCGTAGCTGGCCCCCTGATGTTCTCCTCTTTTACGTACTTGCTCCCGCTCGATGCGAACCACAATCCATCACAAATGAGAAAACGGCGACGATTATGTCTCCGCTGACATGATGCACGACCCATCTCTTCTTCCAACCTGACAAGTTTACATGTTTGCATGTATTATGCGTGAAACGGATCGATACGAACACGACGTGTCAGTGTCTAGTACGTTCTGCTATGTACATTCCCTCCACAGGCCTACGCCGGCCCATATCCTATGGGCAAGCGCTCGAGAGGCAAACTCTAGAAACCGTACTACCAGCTGGCTTTACCGCCATCCGCCAGCTAACTGTCTACATTAACCATTGGTATGTGTTTTCACACGACTCATACACTAGTCATTTCTTCCCCTCGCTGCCTCGGCCAGGTTTTGCGTAGGCATGACCCATAGCGAGGGGGGGGGTCTTTCTAGCGAGCAGGGCTAGACTCACCCTCAAGGGACCGATACCTTCTTGCTGCGGCGCACCCGCCGCGAGGCGTGCGTAGTGGTGGAGTTGGGTCGGCACTGGTGCGTCAGGTACAAAGGTGCAGATGCGCGGGCCTCCAGGCCGTCGGTGTAGGCAGCAATGCCCATCTCATCTTTGTGCGCGGAGGCGGACGTCATCAGAAAGGTGGACGGGCACTATGTACACGGCCCTAGGTTTGCTAGAGGGAGTTGTACTGTCTCAGTAACCTGGTTTTGCAATCAATCAAAGGAGGAGGGGACAGGTGGTGACGAGCTGATTGGACTGGTTGACCCTTCGGCGCTAGAATTTTTAGACCGAGAACCCTAAGTGCAACGAGGGAGAAAGCGAGGAACCGACTGGGATGGACAGCAACGAGAGCGTGAACGAAGCGGAGCGGGTCGAGTTTGGTCGTGCTAGGACTCGCCACAGCGGCACCGGAGCAGCGGAACCGGAGCAGGCGGACGGTATCGAACTGTGGCGCACGGACAAACATCTCTTGTGTTGTCAAATTTCCGTTTTTTTCCTGGATTCTTGTTGTTGTCTTCACATTAAAAACCGTTCCGATCTCTATCTACCCAGTAGCTTCGTATGTTTCTACTGATACAGCACTCGACGCGGTCGATTCCCGTGGTCGCAGGCTAACTTACCCTTAAAAGGTACACTCAAATAAAATGGCCCCGTGGGGTCCGCAAATCAATAGAAATCAACGACAGATACTCTGGAGTCCTCCACTCCCTCTGCGCGCTATGCGAGGTAACAACTGAGGGTAGGGGTCACCATCACGGGCCGGAGAGAATGAGGCACACCTCCTTGGTTCAATCTTGGTACTTCACAACGCAAGCAGAAACAAGGCTATCTGGCACAGAAAAAGAGAGAAAAAGAGAACAAGAGAAAAAGAGGAGAAAATATAAGGAAACAGTAAGGAAAGAGAAAATGAATTAAAAAGAGCGAGGACAAAAAGGGACCAGGCCGAAAAATAACAAGAAATAAGAGACAGGCACACGGTGGAGAGACCACTAACGACAAGCAAAACACGCAAACATGGCCACCCACCAGCGATACATTGTAATGGTACGTCATCACTAGTGAGGGGTTGGTGCAATGGTGCAGCGTTGGGGGGGGGAGGGGGGG